TGGATTCCAGAGGGCTGTTCTCTGGGTCTCTTATTTGGGCTCTACCTTAAAACAACTTGATGCAGTTCATCATTATGCTTTGCGTTTCATTACATGGGTTAAATCTCAACTCATCACTGTGTACTCTGAAAAAGTAGGCTGGTCCTCGCTAGCAAAGAGAAAAGGACTATATTCTGTAAAAGGTCTCCTGCAAAAGCTACTTCAATATATCACTTATCTTCTCAACTGAAATTGGGAAGACTGCCTCTACTTACATTACATCTTATAAATGCAATGAATGAATTACAGAGAATTTGAACACTTTTAACTCCGATTTCATTTATGTATGTACATATGTGTATATATCCTTTTGTTATGTCTGGATGTGTTCTTTGTATACCTATGTTTTTTGTATATGTGCTTTGTTTGTCTGGTTATGTTTGTGTTCCTTTCTCTCTGCTGTATTTAGGTCTTGTAGAAGAGATCTTGATATCAACAAGGTTACCTGATTAAATAAAGGTTTTATGTAGGTTAGAATGTCTAACTCATGTTTTCTACTTTTTTCATTCTTAATCTAGTATGATCAATACAAATGTAACTTCGGGTTTATGTTACTTTATAAATGGGAGATAACACAAATGGTGTGTAAAGAGGTCGGCATTATGCTCAATAAAATATATCCATGACCTAATGTTCATTAATCATTAATTGTCACTGTGTCAATATATGTAAAGGTTTTGGGGAATATGAACCTTGAATACAGATATAAGAGATGGTCAAAATTCCCTCCAAACTTTCCCTGCAGCCTTTCTCCTGCTCTTTCACACAGGTTCTGCTCTAACCTTTCTCTCTCTCTCTTTTACACATAAGATGGTCCTCACTCGCCCCTTAGTGTCCTTCTGCAGCTTGTCCCCAAAGTGTTGAGCACTAACTTTGTTCTTGTGCCGGTGTGGTCTGGTTCGTTCCGTCCTCTCTTCAATTATTCATCACAGGCTGGTTACTGTAAGGCTGCTGACTCCTGTGGGCTACCGTCTCTCTGTCTGTGTGTATGTCTGTGTTGGTGGTGTTGTACTGCACTGTATAACCTGACAACACATCTTAATAAAAGAAATAAGATAACATAACTTAATCCATTCATTCACATGAATTGAACCCAACTCAAAAAATAATTGTTAAAGAAACTCAGTTGTATTGAGTTTGTGATATAATCCCATTTTGTTTTAGTTTTTTTACATTTTTCTGTTTATTCAATTTTGATTTATTCCTTAATGATCACCCAAAGTGTAAAGATTTGATGTTAAAAAAACACAAAATGAATTGGCTACCATTTTGATTTGAATTAATTGAACTAATTATAAATTGTTTTTATCGTACGTTAACTGTTTTGACATGTATTGTGATAATTTGCTTCAGTGGAAGAAAACTGAGTGGTGATAAATTTGGTGGTAACATTTGTATAAAGAAGATGCATTTAAGTTACTTTATTCAGATAGATTCTGTTAACACATTTTAAATAAGTTTGTAGAAATGTTGCATATGAGTGTAACTTCAATTAACTGAACGGAATTGGTACAATTAACTTAACTTACCCAAGTTACCTTAACAATAAATACTTGAGTTACTTTTACTCAAATTAATTAATCTTTCATGTTTAAATTAAAATTTAATAAACTTAAATGCTTTAAGGCAATCGGTTTCCTCAAACTAGCTCATCAGGTTTTACAGTGTTTTTAAAATCATGCAGTTAATTCCTAATCAGCTTATACAGTCAAGCATTTCTCTTTGGCTTATACCTTTAACATGTTGGATTCATGGATTTCAGCATAAGTTTACTGAATCCGCCATCTGGATATTTGTTAGAGCACTAACAATGTACAAATGCAGCTTCTGCACATATGTTACCTCCATCTATTTAGCTAATCATTTTATTTATTTATTTATTTATTTTTCACTCCAGGACCTATTTTTATTATGCACTGCACAAATCTCCATCTTATGTAATTTATGTCAGTGCCACTGGATAAGTAGGACAAGCAGGTTTGGAAAAAAAAAATAAAAGGGATATTTGACAATTAAAAAACATTGGAATATATACTTCTGAAAAGCATGGTTTCTCAATTGTGACATTGATTCTGGTAGTCCTAAATGACAGGGTTTTCAGATCAGCACTAATGTGTGTATTTTCATAAATTTAGTTCAGGATATACTTTTTATCCTATTTCAAATGACACACTGTTTTAAAATTAAGCACATTGTCACAGTCTGCCTTCCTCATCACCTGTTCAACTCAGCCATCTCAGTATTTCTCCACTAACCTGCCGCTGCTCCAGTCAGCCACGTCTCCTCATCAGCCACTCTGCTCACATGTGCACACAAGCTGCTCCTGATCACCAATTAAGCCAGTATATATTCTACTCCTCACCAGTCACTCATTGCCAGATTGTTCCTTTGTATTCATGCAAGACCTTCCAGCATTATTCAGACGGATTCCTGCAAAAGACTCTAATGACTCTGCCTGCTCTGTTTATTCCACAAAATAAAAGATCATTATCAACTGACTACCTGCTTAAGTGTGCTGCATTTGGGTTCTAAACTGACCCTGTTACACACGGCACATTTATGCCGAGGTTGTAAGTAACAAAGTACAAATACTTACAAATAGTTACTGTACTTAAGTAGTTTTTAGGTATCTGTTAGAGGTATCTGTACTTTATTCATTATTTTTCTTTTTTTTGTTTGTTTTTTCTTTGCATTATTGTCTTTCCAACATCAAGACCTGTACATATCACCCATAAAACATGTAACAAGACAGTTTAACATACTAAGAAGGTTGTCAATAAATTGTGTGAAACATACATTTAAGTTTCCATTTAGTATGTCCCTATATTATTGTCAAGAGGGCTTTAAAGGTCCAGTGTGTAATATTTAAGAGCATCTATTTTCAGAAATGGAAAATAATATTGATAGGTATGTTTTAATTATTGTATAATCACCTAAAAATAAGAATCATTGTGTTTTTTAATCTACAGAAGAAGTGGGTCCTCTTATATGGAGTCTGCCATGTTGAACTG